ATTAACACTCCTTAACATTAGTGTGATGTGGTGTTAAAGTAATGACATCCCGATTCATGTGTAATAGGGAGAAACCAAAATCCAAAAGTGGGATAGGACACTTTTGGCTGAGTGATCCATTGTGTATGTGCACCTAGTTCGATAAAGCCTTTAATTTCAATCGGGGTGATATGGAGGCTTGGATAGTAAGATGATTATACTAGAATGGAAATGATATGTTTGAATACACTAAACAAGTGTTTTATATATAAGAGTTTTACTTGCTTATAGTTGTACATGTTAATTGATAGTAGTGAATTATTCTGTTACTGAGATGTTTATCTCACCTTGTGGTTATATTTTATAAGTGAGGTCTCTAGTAGGAGAAAAGGGAAGGAAGGGACTAACGAGGAGTAAAGAGCTTCATTTGTGTAGCTCTTTCCTTTCATGTTTTGATTTTGTAATGAATATGTCGTAAACTTTATGCCAACTTAAGATCATTCATTGTTTTATATTCACTTACATGAGAATTATGGTGTATGGATGTGTATTTCAACTCAGAATGATATATCTATATTGAAACTGGTGTGAAAGGTCGAGATATAATGTAAGTGATATGTTTGTGTTGGTTATATGTTGGATTGATCAAAATGACAATTATGATAAAATATAGACACCTCCTTCCTAATGTTGTGAAATGGGGGTTTGTGGTCATTTTATGTATCAACTATTGTTATTATGATATGATTGGCCTATTAGGTTGTGTGTGGTTCATCTGAGTTGGTCCAAGTGGTTTCATGACTATTAGCATAAGAATGTGAGATATGAGTATGTTGTAGGTTGAAAACGAATAATTTTAAGTTTAGGTGTCTAACTTTTTAATGGTTGAATGCTTGGGTGTGAAACCAGTGCCAATAGTTAGAGGGCTTGAAGAGCTATGTGTGGACACTTGAATTATTCAAATCGAACATTTGATGGTGAGACGACATTCTCCGAAAGTTAGTTCAGAGTGCTGTCATAACAGCAAGCTCATGTCGCGGCCTATGACAGTGGAACCTTAATGCAATGCACGAAGAGGGATATAGTGTAACAGCCTTCACCCCACCCTCCCGGGGGTCTTTTGGATTGGGCCCACCCACATCACTGCAGTAGAGGCCGGCTTTCCCAAGTACCACCTTAGGGACCCACCCACATCACTGCAGCAGAGGCCGGCTTTCCCCAAGTACCACCTTAGGGACCCACCCACATCACTGCAGCAGAGGCCGGCTTTCCCCAAGTTGGTACTTGGGGAAAGCCGGCCTCTACTGCAGTGATGTGGGTGGGCCCAGTCTAAAAGACCTCCGGGATGGTGGGGTAAGGGCTGTTACATATAGTCCCTCTATGCCATCTGCCGTGATGGGTAAGGCTTGCGCCGCCACGGATGGTGCCAATTTTGAAATTTTTCAAATTGTTGCAATTGTGTTTTTAAGAGCTGTTTTTAGTTTTCATGCTTTCATTATCTTGTATAATTTGTTTTAAACTATAATTTGAGCTCAAATAACTTTTTAAAAGGATTTTCTTAGGATCCTAATATTTTAAACTATTTACTTTTAAACCCTTAGATTGTGATGACTTGTCTTAGAAATTTTAATTAATCTTGATTATTATAACAGTGTATTAAAGTGTTATCCTGATAATGGTAAGTTGGACATTCCAGTTGGAGGTAAAATTATATGTCGATAGTCCTTTTTCAATAATGACAAATGTATCATCTTGTGGGGGATTTCTTCACAATGCACAAGGCAAGTTCATGCAAGGCTTTACTATGCATCTAGAGAGTGTGGATTGTTTGACCTTTAAATTATGAGCTTGCTTGGTCGGTCTTAAAATGTTTTGGGATGCTGGTTTGAGGACCATTGTGCTCGACATGGACTCTATAGATGCCTTGGACCTTCCACACATATAAGTTGTCAAAGAGATCCATAGCCTTCTGGGAAGAGAATGGGAGGTTATGATGTAACATATAAGTTTGTGAGAATAACGTGGTAGCTGACTATCTAGCGAAGCAAGGACTTACCGCTATGCCTAAGATATATCTACTTGTCTATCTATCTAAGGAGCTAAATAAGATTATTGCTTTAGATTGGCCTAATAAGGCTTGTAATAGGATTCCATAAGTAGTTTTGCTACCCACCTTATTTATTAAAAAAAAAAGAAATGAGCCCTAAACTAATAAATAATTATTTTGCAAACTAGAATGAGTCTTAAGGCTTAATCAAACTAAGCCTCAAGTTTCTAAATGCTTTCTCTTTACTTCGTTAGGCTTACCTAAAATGTTAAAGAGATGGGTAAGCACTAATGCCATAATAACTCAAGATTTTACTATACATGTACAACTAACAACTACAAAAGATAACATATTATATGCATACATGCAATTCCATTATCGACAATTTGACCCACATGTTGGATTGATCAGAGCATCTTCGAAGTTCAAGATATACCTGGCTAAAGGTACAAAGCCTAATCTCCAGACTATGGCTCCCCTTCTTAAAAAAAACAAGAAAAAGTAGAAGAAGGTCTGACTATCCCACATTCCCCTTTTGTAAACCTATCCAAAGTAAAGTATTAAGGAATAGGACCCTGCATAAAGCCAATCATTGTGCGCAAAGTGAAGGCAAACTATATGATCATTGAATCATATATATCAATATCAATAGCATCATCTCCTCATCACCAATGCATATCATGCATATGCAATGAACACAGCTTATGTGCAGGCTTTAAAAGAAACATAGTACCTCATTGAATCTCGGCTATAAGTCACAATCACACTAGGCAGGATTAAAGTAATTCATTAAATTCAATAATCACATTCTTTATAATGTCTCAACAATTTATATATATGTATATATATATATATATCTCTCTCTCTCACGTGCGCGCGCCTATAGACTATATAAAGGTATCATACTCAATTAGATAAAATTATACATGAGTAAAACTTATATAGATCACCATACTAAATATAGTTTGCACACACATGGAAAAATTTTGAGTTACCCCTTCTCCTTGAACTAACAAGCAGCCACATAACAAATTCAATCAATAAAAGCTATCAGTAATAGACTATATAAATTATACATGCATGAAAATATTAATATATAATTTAAAATTGCTAAAAGGCCATCCTAAAGCTTCTGTACGGTTACTGTAACGTTATTTTAGGATTTAAAGTTATATTAGAGAACCCCAAAATTATCTTTTAAATCCATATCCATTTGTATAAACTAGTTTATCTATAATTATAATTTTAATAAACCTTTTTTCCTATAGCACAAAAGTATTAATTTAAAATCTCTACTAGTCTCAAATCTTTACTCGAAGGCTCAAATCTTACTCTAAGAGTCCTCAAATATCATAAGAAATTTATATATAGAGATTAAAGGATTGTTTGGCAGCCTATTTTAAAAAGAGTTTTCTATTCTTCAGAAAAAAAATTTAAAAAAAATCTATTTGGTAATTTGTTTTTAAAAAGTATTTTGAAAAAACAAAAAAAATTTAAATATTGTTCTAGAGAATTAAAAAACAAAAACATCTTTTAGATGTTCTGAAAAATAAAAAAATGCAAAAAAACATGTTTTTATTATTCTCACAATACATTCTACAAAACATCAATTCTCATAACAATAAATAAAAAAAATTTCAAGTAAGCCCTAAATCTTCTGAAAAATCCAAGATAGATCTACAAATATTTTAAAATAATTCTCTATTAGCAAAAAAATTCAAAAATTCCAAATATGTAAACTCTAAATTTTTCTACCATTAAGAATCTAAATATTAAGAGAATAAACAGGAAGAATAAAAGAATACTTGGGTGGTCTTAAAAGATCACAAATCACAGCTGAAACATCTGCTTATAGTACCTAAACTCTAGGATCACTCACCCTCGCTTGCGACGCTCGCTCCTGTCTCGCTCTAGTCTCTCGTGTTCACACATAGGGCCGCTAATAAGGAATTGTGCAATTGGTGCGTGCAGCGTATTAATGGGATGAGTCTGGGCCTTTTTCTTTATTATTATACAACTCATTCAATATTTAAAAAAAAATTCTTTTAAAACATACTCTTTTTATTTAAAAATATAAAATATTTTTAATTTTAAGATATAATTATTATTATTTTAAAAAATATCCTATTGAGTAAATTATTTTATATTTATTTTAGAATGAAATATTTTATTAAATACTAATAAATATAAAAAAATAAGGTTAATTTAAAAACAAATAATTATTTTATTGAGAGTAAATTTGATTAAAAATATCTTACATTTTTAAATAAAAAAATTAGTATTTTATTTAATACTCAATAATTTCTTATGCCTTAAAATTCCATTATGCCTCAATTTCATATTATTTTTATTTAAAGAATTTTTCTAATACTCAAAAATTTCTTATACCCCAAAATTCCCTTTCTATGTCTTGAAATTGCCTCAAACTAATTTATTACTTCATATTGAAATCTAGGATATTACATGCCTTCAAACTCAAAAATTACTTATAAAAATACTTGTAGATTATTCACCAATAAAATTCTCATGTCAACAATACAATTTAAACCCACAACCTTATAAATTATAAATTAAGTCCATACCATTTGTTGGTATATATTGAAAAATGTTGAACACATATTGTCACTGCTTCTTTTTAGACAACAATAGGAGTTTGATTTTAAATTGAATCAGCAAATTTAAGAAAATAGAGAGCAACAAACTTCGCTCTAATTATCCATAGATTGCGGGGGAAAAAAATTGTAAAGAGAAAAAAGCACTTATTTTCAATTAAACGAAGAGATGAATTCTTCATAAATTATTAATTTTATAACAAACTCATCATTAATTTTATTAACACATTGAAATTCATTTATTTTGATTTGATTGAATAAAAATACATTAAGTATATAAAACTAAATACTCAAATCTTATCCGAAAAGGGAAAATTCTTATATTTCAGGACTAAATTGAACGGAAATAACATTTTAATGACTGAATCAAAAATCACACATTTTTACTCAACTACATTTCATTCACCATTTCCAATGTTTCGGAAATGTGGCAAGTGAGCGCTTCTTCATTTCTTTTCTCGCGCAACTGGGTATAAAACCCACATCAAATGAAAAATGAAAATTCTCTAGTTCACCAACTGAACTACAATACAATAAACAAGTGACCGAGGTCAACAGGGCAGGAGATCTTCCCAGGAAGTGTGCCCCATGGAAAGAAAGAGAAGCTCCGGCATTCAAAAAGTTTGCTTCTAAATTATTGACAAGGACAAATCAGCAAAGCTACCCAAAAAAAAAAACTCTCCTTGTGTCAATGTGTCCAAGTTATTAACGTTCTCCTCTCAGATGAGGAGATGGCAAAACAGTGTGTACGTTGTAATTCCTGAAAATTTAGCAGTTTATGGATGCATCAGAATACTTTAAACTAAAGCCTGTGTATATTTGATAAGCAAAACCAGCATCCTCCACATCTTTCCTTTTTTGTCTTATTGTGAGAAAGGGGCATAAATTTTAGTAACATCCAAGGTGATCAGAGAACTAACCAGGATTTCAAGAATTTCAGAACTGGAACAATAAAATCAAGCAGTGGCAGCCATTGGCACAGATCTGTAGCAAACTCTCTTAGCCGCTCGAACAATATCCTCAACCTGTAAACCCATAACAGTAAGCACCAAAGACAAATCCACTACTGTCAATCAACACTTGCAACCAATCAACAATTTATATTTCTCATTAGATATCAGAGCTCATTCTCAGGGCTACTAAACTATTTCTTTTCCTTTATTTTTTTGTTTTTTGTTTTTTTTTAAATTACACAACAACTAACACTCACTCGCACCACTGCCAGCTACTAGACTTACTTCTAAAAGAAGCACTTTCTAGGATCAATTTGCTGGCAGAGAATATACATAAATAATCAGGTACGGCATTCCAACTTGAACGAAATATTTAAACAGCATTACCTGAGGGACAGCCATTCTCTCCAAATTGGCTGCGTAAGGCATGGGAACATCAGCCCCAGCAACTCTCTCAACTGGTGCATCAAGATAACCAAAGCTCTCCTCAATAACAGAGGTGCTGCAGAATAATAGGAAAAATACATGCATAAAATTACAAAATGAACATTTAATTAGCAATAACTAAAACTGTCAATGCAAAGGGGCAAACCAGATTTCAGCACCAACACCATGCTGAGGAAATCCTTCTTCAACTGTTACGAGCCTGTTGGTTTTCCTGACAGAAGCATTAATTGTGGATCTATCGAGAGGTCGGATTGAACGCAAATTTATGACCTATGTTGTTGATAAATCATAACGTTATCCAAAGAAAAGAAAAAGGAATTGAAAACCCAAATTTTCTCAGAATTATGGCAAGGTTTACCTCAGCACTGATCCCTTCGTTCAACAACATCTCAGCAGCCTAAACAGTAAAAGAATGGGTTTAGATGTCCCATTCTTTGGAATGGCAAGGTCCGATTTTTCTTTGATACGAAAACCATGTTATATGGACGCATAACATTTCCCCCCTCTATCATTCAGATGCAAAATAAATCTATATCGTATTTCCATAACTCTCATATATGAATACAAAACCATAGCAGACAATACATCAATTCAATACCTAAGGATCAAAGGTAAAAACCAACCTTGAGAGCATATCCAACCATTTTTGAAAAAGCTGTTATAGTCACATCTTTTCCTTCTCTCTCAATCTGTTAAGGGCAAAATGCAGTAAGCAAATGGGAAGCGCACAACAACACTGTTAAATAAAGGTGACCCCTACAAAGGCTTTCTAAGGCATGACTCGTGTATCAAGTTATAAATCATTTACCTTGGCTTTCCCAATGGGAAGACAAAAACTTGAATCGATAACTTCATCTGAAACAGGGAATGACTCACCATATCTACAGAATGAAACTCATGTCCAATTAAACATTTTTAAAACATGAAGCAATGCTAAAAATTTCAAGAATTCACATTCATGGGATCCATCCAAGCATTTGATAACTTACAACAACTCATTTTCAAGGAAGACAACAGGATCAGGATCCCTTATGGCAGCTTTCAGCAAACCACGAGCATCTTCAGATGAATATGGTGACAAGACCTTCAATCCAGGACACGAGGCATACCAAGCTGCATAGCACTGCACATAAAAAAAAAAAAAAGTAAAAGTTGAATGAGATAACAAAACACCATAACCCAAAGAATTTGCAATGAGATTGCAAGGGGGGAAGCCACTGGCTACTGAAGGCATTTATATAAAGAAAAAGCCCAAAGAACCATACTTGAGAGTGCTGGGCACCAACTCCTGCAGCAGCACCATTGGGTCCTCTAAAGACAATAGGTACAGATATTTGCCCAGCAGACATGTAATTTGATTTTGCAGCAGAATTGATGATGTGATCTATCGCCTGCAAAGAGCCCACACAACTTATTACACAAGGAAGTTGCATCTTGGCAATGTAGAAATAAACGAAATCTAGTTTCAAGGTTATTCATGTCCATAGTAAAAAACTCAAAAGAAAATGTTGGAACAGGTCCATGGACCCCCAATATCATCCACGTTATGTCCGTTGAGAACTAGTGTGCAGATAAGAGAATTGACTTTCAGAGGAGTTTTCAAAATCCAAATGGGCCTGTCAAGAAGGAAAACTTACTAGGTAGAAGATACAACAAGGAAATGAAAGTAGGACTCACAATACGCATGGAAAATCACAGTAGCGAACTTGCTTACCCTTAAAGAAATCAGTGTCACGAAGAGGCATGAATCTAATTCATTTACATTTCTATATGCAAGATCCCTTGAACTGGTAAGGGATCTTACCTCACAAAGAGGATTTTTCTTTTTCTTTTTTCACTTTGTTTTAATCACCAGACACATGGTTCACTGGCAAGGGGGTTATACTAGCTTTCCTAGAAGCCTCAAATTCAAGCTCTAAAAATACAACCATATTGGTGGTAGAGCTTCCGCTTGCAAGGGTTCTAGCTCGATTTGGATTAGTCTATGCCTGTTAAAAGTCCCTCAGCTTGACATGGGGAAGATCTAAAATACTAGGTACTCCATGCCAAAAAAAGAAAAGAAAAGAAAATTTGAAGACTACATAAGCCCCTTACAACAAGTCTTATCCTACTAAATGGGATTGGATATGAATTACACGATGCTATTATACTTTATCATCCACCAAGTTTTAAGGAATATTGTCCACTAAAAGGCTTTGTTCAACTCTCATAAGTGTTTTCTTTAGTCTTCCTCTACCTCTCTTTACAAGGTTCAAAATTATCCATTCCACTCTTCTCATCGGCACCTCCCGCAGTCCTCTCTGAACATGTTCAAATCATCTTAAATGATTTTCTATCATTTTTCCTCAATAGATGCCACACATACTTTTTCTCATATATGCTCATTTCGAGTTCCATCTTTTCATGCATACCCACACATCCATCTTAACATTCTCATATCTCCTATTCCATCTTACTCCTTCTTAAGCAAAAACTCTGACTCCAAGGTCTTCCTCCACAACTCCAGTTTGCACCTAATCCCTTCTCGTCTCCATAATAAAAACTATATCACCCGTAAAAATGCATGCATTTGAAAATTTCCTCTTGAACATGCTCAGTTAAAATATCTAAAACTAAGTCAAACAACTAAGGACTCTAAGATAATCCTTAATGTAATCCAATCCTTATAGGAAAGTCTTTTGTTTCACGCGTTCTAATACTAATTGTTGACCCCTTATACACATCGTGTATAGCTCTAATATGCCCGCAACCTAGACTCCTTCTTTTCTAAGGCTTTCCAAAGCACTTCTCTCGAAATACGATCATAAGTTTTTTCCAAATCAATGAAAATTATATGTAAATTTTTAAATTTTTTTTAATACTTTTCCATTAATTCCCTTAGTAGAGAAAACCCTTTTATAACCGCCTTACCCGGCATGAAGCCAAATTGATTCTTAGAAATACTAGTTTGCAATATCACTCTTTCTCACAATTTCATTGTACAATTAATAATTCTTAACCCTTTGTAGTTTCTACAATTTTGAATATCCCCTTTATTTTTGTAAATAAGAACCAAGATGCTTCTTCTCCATTCATCAAGCATTTTCTTAAACTTGACATCTCATTAAATACCTTAGTTAGCCACCACACCCTCCTTCATCTAAACATTTTACGCTTCAATAGGAATACAATCAGGTCCATTGACTTTATCATTTGTCATTTTTTTAAGAGCTTAATTTACCTCACTATTGCGTATTCTTTGACAGAATCACAAATTTTGTTATCTTTCACAAATTACTAAATTCTCCAAGTTACTAAAAGAGGCCCCTCTATCATTAAAAAGTTCATAAAAGTTGGTCTCTGATCTGTCTTTAATAACACCATTTGTAAGAAAAAAAAAATCTTCCTTCTTCTTCTTTTATGTACCTTAGCTATTCCAAATCTCTTGATTTTCTTTTTCTACTCTTAGCAATCTTACAAATTTTCCATTTTTCATCACTTGTCCTAAAACCCTTGTAAAACTTTTCAAATGCTTTAGAACAACTTCATTCACAGCTTTCTTAATCTCCTTCTTAGCCGTACGATACCTTTCTCAGTTTTCAGCATTATTGCATGGCTTTAAAACACTCCTTCTCATGTTTGACTTTTTCCTATATAGTCTCATTCCATTACCAAAACTCCTTATCTCTCAAACCAAAACTTTTTGATTTTCTCAAATCTTCTTCAGCAATCTTCTTTACCTTCTTAACTATATTATCCCACAAGATGCTGGCACTTCTTTGAGACTCCCAAATTCCTTCGGCCAAAAAGTTCTACTTGAAAATTTCCCGCTTCTCACCTTTTAACTACCACCATCTAGTCCTCGGGTTCACCACTTGTTGATGCTTTTAATTTTTACTCTTAATACACACATCAAGGACAAAGACCCTATGTTGTGTTGTTACACCATCCCTAGAAATCACCTTACAATTTTTATAAAGTCTTCTATCTGTGTTCCCAAAAAAAAAATCAATCTGTGACCTTAAGGCTCCACTAACTGCATAAACCCGCTGATTAAAGAAAAGTATTCAAAAGATGCATTATGCTGAAATAAAAGATTACAAGGATTTGCAAAACATTTCCTATTTTTGAATGCTAGCTTCTTGTCCCCCCAAAAAATCCAATGTGACAATCATCACTAACCCTTAAACAAACCACAGGCCTAAGAAATTAATTTCCAAGGGAAAACATAATTAGCAATAGCTTCTGGATTAACTTATGATTCACTCATGCAAATCATACTAGTTGCAAGAACCTGATGAAGTGATGGTATAAAAAAAATAGTTAGGGTTCAAGGGCCCATTTATCTCTCTTGAACCTGCATAGCACGCATATTTGAGCCAAAAACCTCACCAACTTATTTCTCAACTGTCCAGCAAAGTTTTACTTTTAGAATAAGCTCTTTGCTATCCTCGAACAGAATTGGGTGTTTCCTAGTATTTTGCATTAGTTTCTCCAAATTCAATTTAAGGGATTTGATAACAAGGAAACAAGAACATTGGATAGTGTACAGTTCATGAGACACAATGGTTAGTCTAGATGAAGAGAATGCTAATGCTAAGTTTAATATGATAATTGTCAATAATTAAGTAGTAAGTTTAGTTATAGCCACCTCATATCTATGAAAGGCATGTGAGGGTCCTTATGTATCAAGCTCTTTGGAATAATGAGAATTTGAGTTCTGTTTGGTTCTTCTCCACTCTTTCTCTCATCTCTCCCACATCTCTATCTGTCTATTCTTTCCTTCTCTTCTATCATTCTCTCTCTTCTATTTCTTCCATCTAACTTCTTTCACAACAGAATCTTCAAGGGCATTTATTTGCTTTTAACTATATTATGAGATTGCGGGATATAGTTGGGTATATGGCTTCTCTTTAGTGCCCAAGCCATGTTTTTCTTTTAAAGGATGTCATCAGCTTTTATATGCAAAGAGATCAAATAGCTCTTCTACACTAATAACCTTTCAAGAGCTTTTGTTACCTCTCCCCACCCCATCCTCTCACCCCTTGGTACTTTCTGGTTTGAGGATTTCTTACCATCAACATATTGCACTTTCTTCTTTTTCTAATCCAATATTTTCTTTGTAAAAAAAAAAAACTAACAACAAAATAACTCCCCAAGGCATGTAGCCTTATCTCTCCCTCTCTCCCAATTAAAATGAAAACAAAGCATAAATGTTTCAAACCCCCTTGGCAAACCCAATGGAATCAAGAGGAGAGAGAACAGAGTGCAATAGTAGAGAGTCAAGATTGAACTGAGGAAAGCATGTCCAACATTAAGTGGACACACTTGTTAGCAGGTAGCAACAAGAGATTATACAACCTTCAAAAATGATTTGATGTTAATTTCCCTAGGAGAACGCATAAGTAATAGGAACTAAGCAAATAAATTCCACCAAAATACTGCCAAACTTTGTAGGCATCTATTAACAACCAGCAACATGCCCAAAGAAAATGCATTTTGTTCATAGAGTCATTTGATTATCACCCAAGCAAGGTAAGGGACCCTCCAAATTTTGCTATTGATGTGAGAGAACCAACTCATATAGATATCTATTACTCAATGAGAACTGAGGCAACTCATGCTACATTGGTCACCATCATCAACAATGAAATGATTTGCGCTGGTAAAATTAAATAAACAATCTATCACTATTCTTTGACCAAAGTTTATGAAAGATGTCATGTTAAATGCTTAATAACAAAATCTGCATCTCTACATCTTTAAAGATAAAGGGGAAGTGCATTATTCGTCCCCACAGCATCAATCATAGCATTCTTTGGAACAGTAATGGTCTTACTTTGCAGAACTGGTAAGATTGAATATTCTATATTAGAAAAATTTTGACAAACTTTACAGTCAAAACTCAAGAGGTGATGTGACCAATCCAAGGACACACTTGATTTATTATGAAAACGATACAATCAAGCTAGAGAAACTCTAACCTGCATGGAGAAGTTAAATGTCATGAACTCCACAACAGGCCTTAGGCCATAGTAAGCAGCACCCACTCCAATCCCAGTAAACCCAGCCTGCATTTTATTGACAATTGACAAATAAAATGTAAAACAACAATTACTACCAGCCAAATAAAATTACATTCTTTCCCTAGAAACACTCTGTTTACTTTGGTTCTAGGGAATTTGCATTCTTGTAACTTTCAAGATGGGAAATTCATCACCATAATGAAATTATCCAGAAAGATGGGATCTTTAAGATTTAGATTTAGATTTAGAGCCATGAAAAGTCAATGTATTCAAAACAATTCATTAGGAAACTAAAACTAAAACCCTTACTATCTGAAAGACTAAAACTAAAGCATTTTGTTGGTACAAGTTTTTAACCAATATCAGAAAATTCAGGATTCTTGTTATCTGATAAATTAGATTATCTAAAAGTGGAGAAAGAACAGGACCATGAGCATTAAAGAATTTCTCTTAATTGCTGGGAGTTTGTGAGGATAAAACCCAATGCATTGAAACCATAAATTTTGAATGAATAAATGCGATGGGAGAGAATGTAATTAAGAACTCGCAATAGTGGCTGCAGAATAATAAATGAGGGAGGAACTAGCAAGAGCCAGTCGAGTAACAGAAAAAACCTCAGTAATTGGAGTATCAAGAACCCTCTCTGGACCATACTTCTCCAGAAGCCCCTTGGATATCTATAAAGGAAAAGTGGATAAATATGACTATGTATCAACTTGGTTCATAAATCAACAGGCTCCATAGGAATATCATCAAAAGCAGTAAGGCCATTTATAACCTTGTATGCACCCTGATATTCTCCAACCTGCACATGTATATCGAAAGTCAGCATATGAATGGGGTAAAGACAAACGGAGAAAATGAGTGGGTCACTTTCATTACCTCTTCACCCATCAAGAAGACTCGATGATCAGCTGACATTTCCTCATCAAGCGCCGAGTTCAGGGCCTCTCTGACCGTCATCTACATAATTAATCCCTTTAAAGCTTAACATGAGGTAGAAAAAAGATGGTATTCATCTCGCGATATATGTATCTAAAGAAAATTGCCCAGGAATAAGCACGCAAATAGAAGACAGTAGATCACAGGGCATTACCTGTTTAGCTGACGAAGAGTAATTCCTGAATGCGGCAACAGCAGGGCGAATACACTGCAGGATACTCCCAGTATTATAATTTCTTTTTAAAAAAGGAAGATTATGAATAACCAAAAGATGAATAGGGAATAGCGTTACCGTCCCAGGAAGCCCTCCAGCACTAACTTTCTGCCTAAGAACACCCCACATCCTATAGTTCTGTTCGGTTTAATCTTTCAATCCTAAAACGAAATATGGACAAGAGGATTAAAGGACAAGCATCAATGGACATGAAACTATAACGGATGACTAGATTCCAAAAGAAAAAAAAACAAGAAGAAGAAATCAATTCATCAATTCAGTGCACGAAGGGGAAAAGAGGAATTCAAAAGGCAAGGATAAAGGGAAAGCAAGATCTCGGACAAAAATTAACAGACCTCTATCGATACACGAGTGTCGGTTTACCGGCGGGATCCAGTCCGCGCTGATCAAACCAGAAGATGGGAAACCCTCAACTCAGTTGAGTCTGCTGCTCATTGTTTATTCTGGCTAAATAAATATTGTCATTTCAATCATCCTGTCTTCTAGCCTTGTTTTTTCATTTTTATTTTTATGTATTTTCGGCCTGACAATTGGAATGGAGGCTGCGTTTGGTGCGAAGAATTTTCAAAATCAGTAGTCGCAATAAAAATCAACGATACCAAAGAGGTAAAGATCCGTTGAGAAACCAAATCACAATTTTACTTATTTTATTTTTTTTATCTCATTCCTTGATTCAACAGTTCAAATGATTGTAAAGAAATTATTAAAATACGTACCTATATAATTGTCTTCTTAACACGTCAATGAAATCCCATAATTGCAACCTCACAAATAAGAGGATTTAGAATCATCACAGAATTCACCTTCGGCTTACAATCAAAACTCCCCTTTCTTTCAAATAAATTTGAGAAAATTAATCCTTTTAATTATTTAACTTTTAACTCATTTATAATTCAGTTACTTAATTATAACTTACTGTGACTTAATTTTTTAATTGTTAATTTATTTATAAATAAGTCCTTATTTTTTAATTTTTTTTTAAAATTATCATTATCAAATAAAAAATAAAAGAAATGCTCATATCATGCTCTAAATATTTTTCTCTTGCTTTTTAATATGGGATTTAAGCTAATGTGAAAAAAGATACTCCCTCCATTTCTATATATAAGAGAAAAAATTATATCACACAGTTTAAAAAAATTAGTTAACCATATTAATTATGTTTGAAAATAAAAAAATTAGATTAAAATGCCCTATGTTAATCAATATAAGAATACATTAATTATTTCTCATTAATGTAAATTATGAGAGGTGATTTAAAAAATATATAATAAATATTTATTGAAATATGTGATTTTACTTATATTAAAAAAAAGCAAAAAGTGAAGAACTAAATCACATATAAGTCAAAAGTTAAGGAATTAAATTGTCACAAGTCATAATTAAAAAACTGAATTATATATGAGTTAAAAATTGAAGGATTAAAAAAAATTAATTTTTTTTCAAAAAAAACTCATCTTCCTTTATTTTTTATGCAGTTTATTAAAATATGTGATTTATATTTTAATATAATATAAATTCGACAGATAAATATAAATTAATTGGAAAAATTAAATTATTTATAAGTCATAAATTATTGATGTAACTTGCTTCAAATTTTCAATTTTGATGAGGAAAAATGTGCAGTTCCCTCTGAAAATATAAGTATATAATAATTCATATTATCATTTTTTTATACTTTTATCCCATTAGAAAAATAAAAAATCACAGTAACGGACAATTTGATTTCCCCCATAGAGACGAAATACCCATTTTATATATATATATATATATATATATATATAATCCTATTAGTATCAGCTATCGGCCTATCGCTTTCAAAGCAGCTATTATTATTATTATTATTATTATTATTATTAAAATGCAGGCTATAGTATTTTTAAACTCCAAAAAAAAAATAAAGAAAAGCATAACCTTAGATCTCTTTGTTTTACTCACATTTTACTATTGATCCCTATAAAAAAATCTATAATATCAAAAAAAATAAAAATATAGAAATTTAAAATACCAAAAAAAAGCAGAAAAACTTATAATAAGATTTGAGTAAAGTATAAAAATTTAAAATTATATTTTTAAAAAAATTAAATTACGTCATAGGACAATATAGGAGCTTTATAAAATATTATTTACTTTAACAGCAGTGAACTTTTAATCTTTTAATTTTATATGAAATTTTATTTTGCTCTCTTAATTTTATAAAATGTGTTTTTAATCATTTAATCATAACAATGTTAATTTTATTAGCAAATTTTTTTTACATGAAACATTTAATATTGAAAAAAAAATTTTAAACATTGGCATATTAAGTTTAATTTTTTAAAATGACAATAACTAGCAAAACATAACTATTATTTTAAATTAATAATGTTAGGATTAAAGTATTAAAAAATATTTTATAAAATTAAGGAATTAAATTGAAATTTTATATAAAATTAAAAAAAATTGAATGTATGTCTTAGCCGTTTGTTTTTCATTAAAACATTTCCCAGTTATTTGAAATAACTGCGTGGCTTGTCCAGGCACAGTTCGATAAAATTTGGCAATCATGATTTTATAAAAGAGAATAAATTAACTCTATCAATGGAGAGCGTGAATTATAAGTCTATCCGCAGCATCAATGCTTTTTCTTCTATTTTATTTTAGCAATTTTCCAAGATTCTAATTATTAACTCATCCATGGAGAGCGTGAATAACGAGTCTATCGGCAGCATCACTGCTTTTTCTTCTACTCTATTTTAACAATTTTCCAAGATGCTAATTAATAAATTCAGAGGTGTTTGTTAAACTAATTAAGAAAGTTAAATCAATTTATTTTAAAATAGTGAGTACAAGTCTGGAAATATGTAATTGTATTAAATAAATATAATTCTATTAAATAAATATATTCCTCAAAGCATCCATATTAGATTAGTTTGAGCAGAAAATGATAACATCTCAAGTTTCCCAAAATAGCAGATATGAAATTAAAAAAAAATGTTAGTTAATGAATTACAGAGTACATAATGATCTTTTTAAGTTTAATTGTAACTGTGATTGGTAAGTTAGTGAGTGAGTGGTCAAATAAATGAACTAATTTATGATAAAACATGAGAGGACCAAAAATTTACATTATCCGTATTAGTTTAGTTTTATCACATTCCATAAAAATAATTCTGCATAAAGTTTAGCAATACAACAATATATGAAAATAGATTATAGCATACATAGAAAAAAAAAATAAGTTAAAAAAAAAAAGAGACCTGGCTTCCGACCACCATCACGACAAGAATAAAATTATTTAAAATAAATTTGAATAGTTTGGAATTAAAATTTTTTATTTTTATTTTATATTTATTAAAATAAAAATTTATAAAATTAAAAAAATTTAATAATTCTAATTCATCACTAATCTAGACATTATAGATTTAATCTTTCCGTTCTAATTTAATATTAAAATATTTATGATTTTTATAAATTAGTTATCCAAATATGCTCTAAACAATATAGGTTTAATATTAAATTTGGACATTTACATTAAGTTTAAACTATTAAGATTGATGATCCAGTAAATTTATTAAAAAACTATAATTTTTGTAAAATTTTATTTTAATAAATGTAAAATAAAAATAAAAAATTTTTAAATCTAGCATGATGCAAAGAAATGGCAGTGAGAGGGCTACTCAAAGAAGAGAAGGTAGCCTAAAAAAATGTGGGAGTCCTTTTCTTCCTCTTGTTTTATTTTGTAATTTTGCTTTTGTTTTTGTTTTGTTTCGTTTCATTTTTTTTATTTTATTTTATTTTATTTTTTTGGGTTGAGAGGGCGGAGATCAATAAGGGAGTGTTTTTTATTAGCACATAAATGAAATGAAATGACATAAGAGAGTTAGTTAGAAGTTTCATGGCAGGCTAACAGTCAACGTCTAACCGTAGCCCAACAACCACGCTCCTACCTCCTTTTTTTAATATTATTTTTAAGAAATAATTGAATTTGAAATCCTCCGTCCCTTATTTCTATCTATCCATATATTGTGTTTACTAAAAGACATTAGCCATTTTTACAATTAAAAATTCCAAATTAATGTACTAGTTAACGTAACAGTTCAAAAAATTTTGAATGGAAAAAAATACAAATATGGAATTGGAATATCGACAATAACTAAACATTAAAACTTCTTAATTACCTAAGCATTAAAACCTCTTAATTAAATAAGAAACTAAGTAAAGAAAGATAGAATCAAGTATAGCTACTTGCATTTTTACAATTACTTTTGAGTAAATGAGATGCTAGAATAATTTCAAATTTGAAAACTATAGGTCAATATCCTTGGAAACATTTCAAATTAAAGTAAGCAAGATCATGAAAACATGAAAAATAGTGTGAGCATTAAAAACAAGTCAAAGAGAGAGTAAAAGAGTCATTTTGCTAAAACAGAGCAATGCATCATTGCCAAACTTGCAATCTATTGTGGCTTGTGATATAAAGACAACTCATCATGACCAATAAGTACTTTCATTATTACCAATAGGTTGTAATAGTGCAAAATGATGTCAATTAAAATCTAACTTTTTGAAGTACCTAAATTTTTGGTTAAACCTCTTATTAAAGTGATCCAAGGATCCACATACAGACAATTAAATATTTCAATTAATGGCTCTGGTTTCACCTCAATTTAATACCAAATGAAGATTTTGAAACACTTGAGGCTATATCATATTTGTCACGCTTGCAACATATCAATTAAGTGTTTTCCCTCCGTATTTAACAGTTAGCAAAACAAGACTTACCATATATCAATAATTATTCATATATTTTATACATTTTTACCTCCATATCCGTAGCTTTTTAGCACTTATTTTAGTATATTTGGGAATAAATTGGCCATATTTGTGATTAGAAGGCAAATGAATGTTTTTAGGAAATCACTAGGATTCATTGCAAATACTGTAGGATTTTACTGAATATTATTTTTAATTCCTAAAAATACATTTTTCCATTGAATTCTTTCATTCCATGGTGTAGGTGGCTACTTGGAAAAGAGAAGAAACAAGAGGAATAAATTGGGAAATTTTCTTTCTCCTATTTTCTTTTCTTAGTTAATTTTTATTATTTTCTCCTCCATTTGTTTTTCACCATTTTCCCATAACTTCCAGATCTGAAAATAAATTTCTTCCTCCAAAATATTAAACATTCACTTGTACAATCATCTTGATTTTATCTTCTTTTCTTTTTTCAATAATCACACACTCCCCTTTCTAAAATACTATTAGTTTATTTTATTGAAATCATTCTTTCATTTTTCAACCCATTTCTTCTACAAATTATTCACCGCCACTTCATTTTCTTTCCTTTTCAATCACATGCCTTCTACTTGCCATTTTGAATTCTCATGATTAGATTTAGTTGATTCTCTTTCAAGAATTTAGCAGCGTCTTCTCCTGTCCAATTCCAAAATAAAACAGAGAATCAGAAGTACTACACATCGGATCTCATTCCCAATGAGATTCATTCACTT